CCTCCTTTCCTTTCCCCTGTGGGATCAGCATCACATTGCAGCCTCTCAACTCGGCCCCCGTACTAGAAATTATTGTAATCCAGGCCTGAGCTTGAACCTCTTCACCCAAGACCTAGGTAATTAAATTATGATAATGTTATTGGTTAGATGAAACCATCAGATGCCATTAGTCTCTCCATTTTACCCAAACTTGTTTCTGTCAAGTGCTTGAGGAGAGTGATACCGTGGTCATTTGAGGATTGAGACCAGTGTCTCAGTTGCATTTTATTTCCTCTCAAGAAGTAACACATACTGAATTGTTAATATTGTTTCAGACACTTAATAATTTTTATTGTTTTTAAACCCCTTTAAGTGTTCCAATCCAAGGCAAAAAATAAATGTTACAGAAATTTTCGAACTTACGAGTTGTTTATATTTACATTATGCTGTTAAAGCAACAGATATGCTGTATTTTTGGACTTTTCCCAAGACACGTGAACCCTATTAAACAGTATTAGCTTTTTTTTTCTTTGCAATTAATTATCTTTCCATCCTCTTTCCATTCTCTTTCTCATTATGACAAATGACAGCATGTAAAGAAGCTCATCCATCAAAACAATAAATTATTGAATGTACTTGAAATATATATGGGAAAACCATAATGAGTAACGTTATATAAAGGCACAGATGAAAGAACTGGCTAATTAGTGTATCATTCAAGCATCTGCACTCTTAGAAGCTTAGCTCATCAAATAAAATGGTTCACCTAAAATAATGTCATGATTTATTTTAGGCTATTTGATCATTCCATGGAAGGATTCAAAAACTGGGAGTTTATGACTACTCACTGCTGGAGTGAAAAAGCAGCAGGTGACTGGATCTTGGAAATCTGTGACACTCCATCTCAGCTGAGAAATTTCAAGACTCCAGGTATGATTCTAACCTTATTTGGGCTCAGTGAATTCACAGGAAAGCTTGCAGTTGCTAATATGGCCTTGACTATTTTCCACCTTCTGATTACAGCTGGAACATCTCACTGGTTTTAGTGTTGAGGGCAGAGTTGTGAAGAGCATTATTCTTTATTTCAGTTATCAATGCACTCTTTGTTGTTGTCTTGCTGTTATTTGCCATTTAAGACACCTAGTTCTTTTTCTATTCTGAACTTCTGGTTTCCATGGAGAATTTAATCTTCTCAGGGGTAAACTGCCTTATGTCTTGAAGTCACCTGTGTTGCTTCAAAGTATAAAAAGACTTTGTCCATTTAGAACTACATCATACCAGACATTAATTCTTCAAGCAGTGACAGACTCCTGTACCATCTGCCAGCCTCACAAGAGTCAGTGCTTTAAACAAAGCCAAATCTTTACTAGGTGCAGTTTTCAAGTAAAAAGATACAAAAGTGCATGAAACTGCATATGCCACAATTGAAAGGAATTATAGTATCTCCATATGCAGTCATCTCTTTTCTTGGATGTTGAATATAGTTGTATCAGACAGATCTTCAACGTAAGTCTTCAACACAGCCTACTGTTACTTTGCTGTGTTCGTACTGCCTCATGACTTTCATGGCTGACATAGGGTCTATATTTACTTGGCCCACAGATTTTGTTGTTTTTCTTTGCTTTGTATTTTTTATCCTACCCATAAGAAAAAGTGGCACTCATCAGTGTTTACACAACTAGAAAATCCCACTATACAAGAGAAAGAGACTTGCTACCACTGGTAGGTTGCATTGTGCTTCTGAGTGCTCAGACCTGGCATTCGTCCACTCATGAACTGTGCTCCTAGTAAGAATTTTTGAAGCTGCAGTCATTCTTCTGCTTCTAATTCCCACTACACACTTCAGTTTCTTTTACATACTTAGTATGAGCACTTTGAAAGAAATGAGGATTGAGAGAAGGGCTTTACACAGAGTCTCATGGGAGTACATGCTTACTTCTATTTGCTAGTTATAAGAAATGAGTATATACTTACCTTTGGACTTACTGAAAACGTAAACTTTAAAACCATTTTGAAATAGGTACATTATATGCAGACAAATCTAGCAGTGTTTATGCATGAATACTGAATATAGACTTTGAAGCGCACATCAAAGTAGGTGGAAACCCTTTAATAAAAATAATTAAGGTGAAATATCACTTTAAAAATAATCTAGATTAAAACATGTTAGATGAATACTACTGATATACTGGAAAACATTTATCACTAAATCAAAAGTAACACTCTGGACAGCATGTCATAATGCAGTAATATTAGACTGGAAGTGACAAGTCTAGTTGGTTACTGCTTTTTGTTAGATAAAATTTGCATTCTTTCTGTTATGCATTATATTTGCAACTACAATGACATTAGCAATAGAATTAATTTATAATTCAGTGAAACAAAACTTACATTCCATTTCATGAAGCTTAGTAAACTCACAAAGCAGTACGAGTTTTCTAATAGATTTGCTAAAAATCAATTCTGACTTTTAAGACATAGATGTTAACTTAAAGTACTTGAAGCTATAAAAATACATCTTTGTGAACTTAACAATAGGTGATTTTTAAGTATGTTTGTTCCTGAATTAGTAGGTTTTTGAAAGTAATTAAAACTACTTAAATGAGCCTTGCTAAGTATAAGTACTTTTATTGTTTTTACTACATGAAGAAGCACACATAAAGAAACATTGACTAAAATGCAAACTGAAGTGTTTAAGGTCTTTGAGTTTAAAATAAGAAAGGCTATTGTGATAGGGCATGTGTTTGTAGTTGACTATTCTAAAAGAATATTAATTGTTTCAGTTCTGCTTTGTCCAAGAAAGGCCCATTAATGTTTCTGCCACCAGATGTGGACATGAAGTACTTTGTCTTCCTCTTGGTTGAAATTTCATTTGTTAAATTATTCAGATTGCAATGAAGGCAATGTGCAGTTCACCTGCCTAGGAGGCTAGCTGGTCCAATCACTTCTGCAGCTTACAAACTCAGTAGGACTATTTCCATCAAGCCAGGGCACAGTAGGAATTCTAATGCATGAACACAGAGTTGTCCAACTCCTTCCTATTTCAAGTGGTGCATAGGTCAGACTGAACTGGGTTTAAACATTTTAGTTGGATAAAAATGAATCCTTTCATTTCAAAATTATGACAAAATGGTAGTGCTGATTTTATGCTGCCTAGATAATTTTCTGTCTAAAAAATCTAACTCAGAGATCAGCCTCACTCAACTACTTTTGAAGTTGATAGAATTAAATGAGAATTTTATTTCTTTATTTCTGCTCTTCACTAGCTGAGTTACGTTCTTTTTAATGCAGCAGATGGCCAGATAGCCAATCTCTCTGCTTTTAAAAAAAGTTTCTCTGTCTGTCTGGCTATCAAATCATATTTTATTGCCTGTCTTAGTTATCTGCATAACCTGAATTTTATTTTAGGGTGTTAAACCAGCAGTCATAAGCCAAAATTTTTAAGACCTGTTATGTAATATGAAGTCAATAACTGCCTATTGAAAACCGAGATAGGCAGGGTAGTTTTCAAAATTGCTGATCAGTGAACAACCTTTTATTAAAGAGTAACTCTAGTGTGGCCAGTGTCATTTAAATGTCAGCTGTATACTGAAGTGGTTAACAGCATTTTGAGAACCTTGATTATCTAGAGGTCTGAAAGGAAAAAGCACTGTTACCAGTCTTTCAATTTTCACTTCATTGTGTCTGCACTGATCACTTCTCACCACAGTTTTGGATTGGTGAAAGGTTCATAGCTAAGGGATATTAATTGCACTAGTAAATGCAGAACAAAGCTTCCAGGACACTGAAAAAGGGATATTCATTAAATGGATTTGGAAAAGTAGGTATAGACTATGAGCAGAATTGCTTAGGGATTCAAGGGGGAGGTTTGGTGTTTGCTTTGTTATTTTTTTAATTTTCAGTGTATTAGAATTTGATAATGGGGTGGTATTAAACAACAACTAAGTAATTTAATTTTGATCAGATTACTGAAAAGAGACAAAAATCAATGGATTTTCAACTGCATCTTGCACTTGTTATTCTTGACACAGCCAGGATCATCTCTGGCATGAAGGACAAGTTAGGGTAGCTCTTCACCTTTGTGTGTACCAGAGCACAGTGGTTCATCCAACAGGCATGAAGGAGAGCCTCAGTGCAACACATTTCAGCTGTCCCTTCTTCCCTGACACACTCCCTGTACTAAAGCCTACAAAAGAGGTAGCATGGGGCCACTTTGCAAACTGTTCATCCAAGCCATTCTCCAGACATCTTTCACAGCCTTGTTATGTCACCAGGACAGTCTAAAATCAGCCAGCTACATTTCCAGCTTTATACTCTAAACCTTGTTCCTTAACACTCCTGTTTTACATATATAGTTGTGTAGTTCTTACTGTTATATTAATTTGAATGCTTATATATATATATGTATACTCTTCTCAGTGCTACAGTGGCTAATCTCATAGAACTGATTTCCTTTCCTCCATGAGGACTGAAGTCTAAAGACTCAGCTCTGGAAGAAAAGGGGCAGTAAGGCCAGGGGATGTGAAAAAAGTAGATCTGCCCATCCAAGGGTCATGGAGGAGGCTGATACACTGGAGGAATCATGCTGGAGAGCTTACTCTTTACTTTCTTTTAACCGCAATGTGAAACAGTGCTTGAGACTGGTTAGGTTTTTACACTCATTTGGATTTCACGAATTACAGTCTGGTTTTGAATTTGGAACCTGGTTCATTGTATACTGTCTAGTAATATGTCCCCCAACTTTCTATAGCAGTAGTTGGCCTGTGATGGCATCTGTCCAGTAACACTTCTCTTCAGAAAGATTTGAAAGTGCCTGCTATATATCAGTGGTGGATAAACTCAGCTGTTTGGGCATGTTGGGGTTAGTCTCTGCACTGAACAGAACATGAAGTAAACAAAAGGTGCTTAAACATAATTTATGGTGCCTCTCCAGTTTATCACCATAGCCTGCAGTTTATCACAGTGATATCACCATCATGCCTGTTTCTTGTTTCTGTTGTGTGCGTGTATTTGTTTAGCTATTGAAAGGTCTTATAATTAAGAGCTGCAGTTTTCCTGTAATCAAATTGAGAACAAAGAGCCAACATGTCATCATATCGCTGCATTGGCAAGGTAATGCCACATCTGTTACCCATAAAGAAATGCAGGGTACTGTTCATAAAAGTAGTGCATGTGATTTCTGCATTTAATTCTGTAGAGTTTATGGAGGTGGACATGTGCTTACTGTGAAACACTGAGATATACCCTTTCTCTTATACATACAGTATGAGACCTCTGTTACATACTAAATACAAGCAAGGTAAAGGATTATTCTAGCCAAACTAAATGATGGAATCAGCCAAAAATGGAGAAAGAAAGGTTTTAGCTTGAATGTGCACACTTTGTTTATTCATTATAAAAGTGTATGTGTATGTATATATACTTAGTTATTGAAATATTTTCGTTGTGCAAATTAAACCTGCCTCGAGGCAGACTTCATTTATTTGCTGGCAAGTCACATGAATTTTTTCCCCTCTTTATTTACTGAACCATTCTTAAAAGGCAAGTAATCTCCTGAGAGACCCTGTGTTATTTCCCTCACTGTCCTTTTGCATAAGGTCTGCATTCAAAGCACCAATTCTTCCTGTAGTGATGTTAGTACAAGCTCTTGCATGTGTGTAAAGGTCAGACACAATACACTGTGCCTGAGAAGCATCTTTACCTGTGGTTATTTTTAGTGTGTCCTTACAAATGCTTATTTCTAGTATTCAGTGTTTTTACCAGTGTTCTAGAAGTATAAAATCAGGAAAGTTTAGTGATATTTGGAGCATAATAATGATGAGGATTAAAAGATCTGAGTAACAGCAAAATGCACATTTTTGTTTGGATCCAGTGTATTATAGTCCGTATGTTGTATAAGTGTGTTTAAACACACACAAAAAAAAGGACAGAGACTGTACCTTGAGAAAATTTAGCTTTGAAAAGGCTGTAGAGATGACTGCATATCTGGTTAAAAATGAGCTCACTGTGTGACTCCTTTCCTGAAATGAAAAGTGCCTTTAATTCCCCAGCTACATTACTCTAGAGAATATTGAGAGGTAACTTGATCCCTACATGTTTATACAGGAAAAAAAAAAGTTATTTGGGTCTTTTTAATCTAGTGGGGACTAAAGAACTACATGGCTGTGAGCTAGAGGTAGGAAAAGACAAATTGAAATTAAGGCGTATACAGTTTTACAGCCAAGGTAATTAGCCAGTAGTTTGGCAGTAGATGTGTTATACTCTTCATCAGTTAATTTTTTAAATCACAATTGAGTGTCTCTCTAGAATAAAAGTAATGCTTTTTAAAGAGTATTTTAACCATAGGACAGTCTCCAAAACAAGATCTTTCAAATTCAGAAAAGAAATACTCCGTGCTCCTCTGTTTTCTTTCTCTTCTGATGAGAATTTGATATTTACAACTAGCTACTCCAACATAGATAAATATAATCAAGAGAACAGGACAAGACCAAATTTACTGATGTTCCATCTTTTCAAGCAAGGATGTCTTTTATGCATCCATGCATTAGGCATTATTTCAGTCCTAAGTCCTTTTGCTCTTTCACAGAATTAATTCACCGGGTAGTGTAGACAGAAATGTGGGGACTAGAAGTTCACACTTTGAGTCCTGACAGCCTGAACTGATGACTTGATATACATTTATCTCCTTATTCTTCCACAAAAAAAAAAAACTTGCCAAAAAGTCAGATAATGCTTCAGGCAAGTAAATAATTTTTTTCTTTCTTCACTCAAGTACTGAGAGGATAAAATATTAGTGATGAATGCAGTGATATATCTGCCAAATAACTAGGGAAAATAACTAAGAAATTATGCTGGTTTGGAAGGGGACACTGATGTTCTGCCATGAAGATTTTAAAATAAGTTGTTTCCTGTTCATGAAGGTGTGTCCTGTAAGCCAATGGGAAGTACTCTTGAGTAATAAACAAAATGTAACTGCTTTCTTAAATCAGAATTCTGAACACAGCTAGTTAACTATGAGATCTCAAATAATAATTACTGTTCTGAGGGGAAGTGAAATCCAGAGCAAAAACTCCTTGTTGAGTGCCATATACATTTTCCAAACAACTGTCTGGCCAAACATTTTGTTGTTTATTGTTTATACTGAGCCCAAGCCAACGTGCAAACTTTTACTCAATCTACAAGTAGCTGGAGCACAATGAGTACACAATCTCAAAATCTGATTGAAGAAAGTATGCTTTCTCAGTTTATAGTGGAGCAGCAATTGAACTGTCTATATTAAACTGAAGACACTCATTTGAAAAGCTGTGTCTTCCATACCTACTCACAAAGTCATGTTTACAAGTGCTATGTTTTGCAAGTCACAGAAAATAGAAATGGTTACTAAAACTATATTTTAAATACTTAACTTCTAGGCAAATTGAAAGAGTGGTCCTTAGTGCTGTATGGAACTTCCATCCAGCCTTACTCACCAAGAAATGATCTTCCAAAAGTGGAAAGAGTCCGCTCTAGTCCAGTTGAAGACCCTACAGATGATTATGGAACAGATGACTATTCAGGTGCGTACATTCATGTACTCTTGATTGTACATTTACTGAACATGTAATAGGCTGGAGGAGTGACGTGTAACTCTGCATGTGTGAAACGTTCAGTGGAGTGGCTTATTAATTTAAGATCAGAACTATTTGTTTCATAATTGAAAGTTATATATTTTCATTTCATCCTTGTGAGTTTATAAGCATTGAATGATTTGTTTTTAAGCTACACTTAAAATACTATGAAGAATGCACTGCTTTTCATATCAGTATATAAGAGTATATGCACGCCTATATATATGAAGAACATTATCTCCTACATCTATGTTCTTTCTCACTGACCCCTATAGTAGTTTTTCAACATTTTCATTACACTTTAATAGAGTTCAATTTTTGACACTGCAAAATATGTCAGGTTGGCAGTTTCCTACATGTAATCCAACATTAGGAGCATCATGTAGTTGGTTAGGGCTGATGAAGCTCAAGTATGGTTCTGACAAGCAAATAGCAGGACAAAGTTCAATTTAGAAGTGTTATTACAGTCTCCTGCCACAGCATGTGAGTCCCTGTTTTAGATTGAGAGTTACTGAACTCCTTGTTTTGGTCACTAACTTCTTAAGGTTTTGTATGAAGCAAATTCATTTTTACTTCAAGTTGGTTCAAGATGGTAGGAGAAATTTCAAGGTGGCTGGCAAACTCCACACATTTTATTCATGCGAGAGCAGTTGTCTTGAAAGTTGTAACTTCACCCACAGTCTTTGTTCATTTACGTAAAGGCAGCAGTCAATGACTGTCTCCTCCCATAGTAGGAAGGACCTGTTTGAAAACTGTAAACGTAGAATCTTAGAATATCTGGAGTTGGAAGGGACCCGTAAGGATCATTGAGTCCAACATGAGCACAGGTGAGATGGAAGACTTGCTTATCAGCAAATGCTAGCCAAGGCTTTCACAGCATGTAGCAGCACAGAGGAAAGCACATCTGAGCCCTGGTGGCTGTTTCAATGGGGTTGTGGTAGCTACTTGGACCAGTTGTTACCCAGTTGGTAATCAGATTATTCACTGACGGTGGTGTTCATAATTTATGTTGACCTGCTTGTTATGTTATTTGACTAATAATTCCTTATGATGAGTTACACAAGCCATTGCATATTTCTGAATAAAATTCAGAGTGATTTGTTACTTTTTAGGAAAGCACCTGTTTGGAACCAGAAATGTTTTCTCATTGATAGATTCTATAGAGGATGCCACACTTGCTAAAAATTATAAATCACTGTGAATAGATACTGAAGCCAGGATTTGCAAGGTCTTCAGATACTAAAAAACTTTTCATTTTGGTGGAGCCAAATTTCTATTTGGAATTCAAATAAAATAGGGAAACAGAGTAATCGCATTCTGCATAAAAATACTATGTTTTAAGGGGTGCTGATTACCAAATGAGAAGTTTTAATCCCTTCCTCCCCTGTGTTCTGGTTTTATTACAGGTCCCTGCAATGCAGAATGCAGTAAAGTAGGGTGTGATGGGCCAGGACCAGATCATTGTACTGACTGTCTGCACTACTACTACAAATCTAAAAACAACACACGGTAAGACCAAGAGAAAAAATCTTTACTTCATTGATTTCATAGTGTATATCTTATGTTCCTTTCCTCTTCTCTTTGCTGCAGTCATGGATAATTCATTTTCCACTGAATTTGACAAATTTTCTTAAGAACTGAAAAAAAAAGAACCAAACCTAGATAATAAGTATTTAAAGTATAGTCTTCACACACCCTTCTGTGATTATTTTCCAATCGCTTGATTATTTTTTCTTAAGAGGCTATATATATATATATAAAACTGTGATAGCTACTACAGCTTCTGTGATTGAGTTTGAATAAGGTAGGAAGAAATGTAGATGGTCAGAAATGATACTGTATGACTGACTGACAAGGAGTTTGCCAGTGAGCCAATGCTAGAGGGAAATAAATAGAAGAGGCAGCTTGATGCAGTATTTGGAAGGTTACAGCTAGTACACACGTGATCATTAGAAAAAGCAGCAATGCTGAGAAATACTTCTGCTTTGCAGTCATGGTCCAGGAATGTGGTGGCAGGTTATTTCATTAACAACTCTGCCTTCTCTTCCCTGCTGTCTGCAGGATCTGTGTTTCGACCTGCCCACCTGGTCACTACAATGCAGACAAGAAACGCTGTAAAAAATGCTCACCCAATTGTGAAACCTGTGTTGGAGGCCATAGTGACCAGTGCATGACCTGTAAATCTGGCTACTACCTGAATGAAGTAACCAATAGCTGTATTACCAACTGCCCTGATGGGTTTTACCTGGATAAGAGTTAGTATTTCTTGTTTCTTTATTGTGGGCTACAGAATTTCAACTGGGGAGGTTGCTGGAATACTTACGAGCAGGAAAAGTGTATGTTGATGCATCTGTCTCTTATCCTATTCCTTTATTAAATTGTCGCCAAGTGTAATCAAGAATCTCCTCAAAATCTTTCCTTATTTTAAAAACCATACTTAGCAGCAGGATGTATTTGTTTAGTGTTAGCACTTATATACTTGATTGTATAGTGTACTTGATTGTATAGTGTTAGCACTACTGCAGAAACAGACAAGCAGCACCCACATTCTGAACATAAGGCATTCCCCATTCCCTCACATGATACAGTAGCAGATAGAAGAGAGAGATGAGGAATCAATCATGGCTACTTAACTGGAGCTCTAAGGAAAATAGGCTCCTCAGATGTACAATTTGGTTTCAATTAATGTTTCCAACAGACTTAAGTGCCTGCAGTGATGTGATGATCCCAAGAGTAGTAATTCTCTGCCATGTGAGACATTTGCCTTCCATTTCCTCCTGTGATTGCCAGGTAGACTGCCCATGTGTAATTTCCAGCTTCGGCTAGCAAAAATACTTATACATATATTCAAACATGCTTAAAACTGCAGTGACTTCAGTTATTTTTAGACACATCCTTAGAAGATAAATATGTGCTCGGGAGCTTGGTTCATCATGTAGGTACCTAACTTTTTGCTTTGCACATCCTGAAGCTGTGTGCACATTTTTGAGGATAAGTAAAAAAAACGTAGTGCTTTAACTCTTCATTTTTTGCTGTGTGAGAACTACGGTAAAGGGAATTTGTTTCCACCCAATTAAGATGGATAGATGAAAAATTAGAATTAAATGGGAATATCGGTTTTTCTTCTCAGAAGGGTACATGGCACTGCATCTTAAAAGACTGCAGGTCTGAAGAGAAGGATACATCTCTTAAAGTAGGGAGTTCTTGAGATGAAAAGGCAGGTGTTAAATAATTGATGTGTTGACTTTGTTAAGATAGATCTGTCCATGCATGTGTGTCTTTAAGCCAAATCAGGTAAGACAGAGGAGGCTGCTTGCATGGAAAATGTAAGAGATAAATTGCAGGGCAGTCTCTGGAACACATGGCAATCATTACTGCATATTACTGTCATATGAAAAGATTATTTAAGTCTGTATTATAAATAGTTAATGTGAATTTGAAGTGTTTATGAATATTTTTTAATGACCTCAAAGCATATTTTTCTCAGGGTACAACTACTGCAATAGATTAAACCATTTGATGTTTGATGGAAAAAGCTAATGCTACGCAGAATTTAGCTATTTTAGTCTAGTTTGCTGCTTCCCTCCCTGATGTCAAGCTAGAAAGCAGTAAATTATGTAGTAGTATGTCCATATAGTTTTATTAAACATAACTGACCAAGGTTTTCTGGGCTGTTTTCTTTTTTTCCATTGTAGATAAGATTGTTTGCCGAAAATGTAGTGAAAACTGTAAGGCATGTGTTGAATTCCAGATCTGCACAGAATGCAAACATGGCCTAAGGTAAGAAAATTATGAATGTTTCTAAGCACAATACCTGAAGAGACTTACAAGGCTGTGGATACACAATGAAGAACATCAGATAGCTATTTAACCTTGAGTGCCCCTCATTTTATCTGTTCCATTGCTGTTTAGTTTGTAATATGTTATTTTCTTCTGCTGCTGTGTGCCAGACGGATTTTTAGAAGACATTTCATTTCAGGTAAAATGAAAGCCACAGTCATGTGGAGAGCTGGCTCCTTCACTTTTTTGACCTATAGTGTGGCAGTCAAGGATTATTTTAGACATAGAGCTGATGAATCATATTAATCTTTCTGATTCAGTCCTGTGATAGTTAGAAACTATTTTCTTATCTTTATTGTATTTCTTCATACATGCAGTCATTCACTTTATCTCAAGTATCTCAGGCTCAATTCTATTACAAATACAGTGTGCACATATTTTTTAAACAGCAGTGGATATTCTTTCTTCATAGGGGGATTTAGTCATTCTTGAAACTGATAGGTAAAACGTACAATGCAGCAGTACACATTTCAAGCTCCTTTATGAATGTATGACCTTTTGATCCAAGCAGCAAAGGTCAAAAATCTTATAAAATTCATGACGGAATGTATGCTGGCTTTATGCCACAAAAAATGTGAAGTCAGTATTCAGTATCTGTAAGGGTTCTTGCAGAATATGAGCGTTCTGCAGATGTTTTAACACCATGCTTTTACCTTCTGTCAAAGTGAATTTTCATCTCTTAGTTAGTAAAAGCTGATTGTTGTTTGTTTCTAGGACATCAGTAGCTGGATTCCTTTACATTTTGTAGAGAGTTCTCATTTCTGTGTATTTATGTTGCATCTAGATTTTGGAAGTGCCTGCACAATTTGTATTACACCTATCTCTATTTTTTTTAAAGTGACGCTTTGAAAAGCAAATGTGATAAAATAGGAAAGAAAGCATGGGACCAGATCAGATCATTGGTCTATTTCCACTTTCTGTGAAATAAAATCATCTGTTTCCCTTTTAAAATGTTACGAAATTTGCGGTCCATTTTAAGATTTTGGAGAATTTTAGCAGACTTAGCATGAACTACTGTGTATCTACAAAGTCAAATTAGTAAATTAGCAGTTTAGAAGTTCCTACAGTGGGCAAATATGTCAGGATACCAAGGATTAGATAGATTTGTGACCTTATGGGACACAGTTGCTATAGAAAAGTTATGTTCACTGTTTTTTTTAATGTCTCGGGAACTGAGTTTCCCTGTCCATTAACACAAACAGCAGCTTGTAGCACCACTGAAGAAAGTAGACAAGTCCACCTAGTGTGAGAAGGACAAATTGAAATATAAAAAATCAAAACAACACAAACTTCGTGTTTTCTTGGCCAATATTAGCAAACTGAGATTGATTTCTGGTAATTTTTTGAAAAAAACCACAATCTATGTGTGTGTAACAGATAAACACAGCCTTGCAGGACATGCATTTCATATTTACCAGTTGCTGAAAACTTGCTGAGTTTTCTTGGCAGAGTTACTGATGGACAGAGCCCTGGGTGGAACGTGGGATTCCGGTTCCAAACCTGTTACTGGCCCATTAAATAAACTCAAGCCGAATTACTAGTCTTCCCATCTGTAAAAACATGATAATGCTACCTGCCTTGTAAGCCACTTTGAGGTGTGTCGCTGAGGAAAATTAATAAGAAGGCAGGGGTTGTTAGGTTTGTTGAATTGCTGATTTAATTTTTTCCTAAACTGGGAACATACACATTCTTGAAAATTTCCAGTGGTGTGCTCCAGCTGAGCACACATGACTTCTGCTCAATCCAGTCTGTAAAACAGGGTTAGCACTCACTCAGGGTGGTAATCCCCAGAGCTGAAGAGCATTTTTAGAGAAAAAGTTAAATTGAATGAAAGCTGAGGTTCCACAGAAGATGGCAAACATGAGGGAGAAATCCTAGCTTAAGAAAAAAAATAAATTAAGGAGTGCTGTAGGCACCTTATAAAGTGAAAGCATAAACAGCTGCTTAGAGGGAAGCATGGAAATGTGACTCTTTATGCTATTCCTTTTCTCCCTGTAACTCACTCTTTTGTGCTCTCTATCAAAAGTGCCTGCAGGCAAAATACGTCCAGCTGTAATCTTGACAAATATCCCCAGCCACTCAGAACTGGCATTCAGTTAGGAGGTTTCAAAGGAAACTGCTCTTGCAGAGAAAGGTGGTGATTTCCTTCACTATGAACCTATTCTTAACCTGTGCAGCAGTGTAGCGTCAGGAGATGCTGCTAGTCTTTCAAGAGAAGCATGAGATCTTGTTAACAAGTCCCTTTCAATACAGTGGTGCTGACCCTGTGCCAAATTCCTTATGGGTAATTGCATTTTACATGCCTGAGTTTTTAGTACTCTCTGGCATTGTTCATTTTTTTTCTGCCCTCTACTACTTGGTAGTATTTACAATGAGTTTCTAAACAGCTTTGGTATTTCACCATGGGCAAAACTGCATTTCATTCCCATGTGATGTGATTGCTGTCTTTAAACTTATCAAATATGACAAATGAAGAAGGAAGGTGAATCCTGACGTACAGACTGTTCTTTTATTAAAAGAGAACCACTGTTTTGTGCATGACCTTGTTGTCCTCTGTTGCTGTTATCTGCCCAAGCATTGTGCTTTTTTTCCCTTTTACAATAGTTTGCATGGCACTAAATGTGCTATCCAGTGTGAAGATGGAAAATACCATAATGGTAGAGAATGTGAACCATGTCATCGTTCCTGTGCGACCTGTGCAGGTACCCTACTGACATTCATCTGCATTGTTTCTTTTCCTCTATATTTTTAGCTCTGATTTTATTCTACTATATCACAATTACGGTATAACGTGGTTTCTTACATGTAAAAACTTAATTCTGCTGATAGTTCTTTCATATATTTTAAATACAACAGACTTCTTTCAGCTAACATGAAAATTTAAGTTTTTTACTTGAAAGTGTGCATATGCTCTTTTCTTTTTTCTTTTCTCTTTTTTTTTTGTCTTAGTGGAGCTCACTTTGATTTCCATTAATGCCCTCCATTTTCTTTCTGGGGTAGAATAATGACTGATAGATTCTGTTCGAGCTTTAGAACTACCAAGAGACATTTCTTTCAGAAAAAGATACACTGAAATTATGGAATGGTGTTTATTCTGACCACGTACCTTTACAGCTTAATGTTACTGTTTGAAAGAAAGTAAGGCAGGCAAAAAGCAGTCTAAAATTATAAGATTTTGATTCAATTAGAGGTGGTGTCTTTTAGGCAATAAGAGGAACTAGCCAGTAATACAGTGTATTTTCTCTCTGGTTTAAGGTGCTGGAGTAGATGCATGTATAAACTGCACAGAGGGTTATTTTATGGAAGATGGAAGATGTGTGCAGTCCTGTAGCAGTGGTTATTACCTTGATCACTCTGCTGAAAGTGGATACAAAAGCTGCAGAAGGTATGATCAGTGACTAATTATGTATCTGATGTTTGGCAGTATATTAGCTATTACTGTGTTGAAAAAGATAATACTTATGAGAACATAAAACACTGCTTCAAAAAATAGGAAAAATATAGTGCATGCTAAGCATTCTAAGCAAATGAAAGAAAAACTTCCTTTACGTTACTCTGAGTTATATTCATGCAGGTCTTCTAAAAGTGTTTCTTCTTGCACATATATGTCTGTCCTTCACTTTAAAGAAGTCTGTAGTGAAAAATCTATGTGATACACATAGAAAGGTAGGATGTACAAATCAAGCAGATGATCTGCATTGCTCAGTAACAAACCAAAATAGTCAAACTAGTTTTTTTTAATTGCAAGTTAATTACTATTCATAGGGACCATTTCGGTTCTGCAACTGCATATTCACAAACATGGCACAAGTATATTACCAGACTGCTGTCCAGAATAGCTCACCTGACTCAGTGTACAAATGGGTGGATGAATCTTGGACAAAGCTGTGCTGTGCTGTGCTGTGCTGTGCTGTGCTGTGCTGTGCTGTGCTGTGCTGTGCTGTGCAAGGAAGGGCCTTTATTTTTTCTATTCCATTCTTTGTTAAACAAATACCATTTGATGCCCTTTGGATTAATTTATTATTGACTTATTTTGAGTTCAGCATATGAAGGGAACCACCATGCGTTACAGTTTTCTACACGAAAAATAATCAATATACAGTGAAAATATGATGGACCCAGAAGGGTGATGAAAGGACTGAGGAGCAAGTCAGTCTTTTCCATCCTGTGGCATTATAGCTCATTCCTTGCTGGTACAGGTATCCACAATCAGTTTAATACTTTGATTGATTACTTCTGCATAGTTCCAAAATACTAGGATAATGCAGCTATTTAGTAAAAAAGTGGTTGAAGGAAATAAGCAGGAAAGGCTGGAGGGGGGAGTTAGTTTTTCTTTTTATTGTTGTTGTTGTTGTTAGAGCAGCTAATATCTCTAGAAACAGCAAACAAGCCCTTTACAGTACAGAAGAGGTTTCCTAGGAACTTTTATATTTGGTGAGGCCATAAGACCAGCTCCTGCCATTGTCTTTCAGATGTGATGCCAGCTGTCTTGATTGCAGTGGTCAAGGAGACACAAACTGTACGAGCTGTCCAAGCGGCTATAACCTAGACACTGGTGTCTGTGTAGTGGGAACAGTCTGCAAGGATGGTGAGTGCAATTCTCTGAAAAGATCCATTTTACCACTGCCAGCTGCTTCTTCTATATGTATTGGATTGATTTGGTCTGTTTCTTTTCTTTTGTTACAGTCTTGGTTTGAGGTCTACATTACTTCATTTTTTCAGGTTTATGGAAAGGAGAAAAATACATTTCCATGTATTAATACTATTAATCACATCCACATTACCTGAATTCTCTTAAAATGGTTCCTCCCCATACCAACACCTACTTTTCCTTCTTTATCTGTTTTTCAAAAGCCATTGTTTTCAAAGCCTTTCTTTATGGAAAGACCCTAGTGTACTATCAGTAGAATCACATTTATCTATGTTGCCACTTTAAACAGTGAAAATGCTGGTAATTAAAAAGGATTTTAAGTGCCTGTAGTATTGCTTGAATTATGTGAAAGGGTAATGAGAACAAAAGAATTCTGAAATAGGGAGCACTCAATCTGTGGTGGAGATTTGAACTTCCTCCAAGTTCTCTGTGGCAACCAAGACAGCATTCTTATTGCATATTATTGGCTTACTTATTCACTGATACTCATTCCTTTCACATGTCACAATTACAGAGACAAATAACATCATGCTTCCCTAAAAATATTATTATGTGAATTACTTGTAGATACAGCCCAACAAGTGCAGTACAACAAAAAAACTATACCAGAACAAAGCCCAGTATTAAGCCATGTTGAAGGTACCTGACATCAGATGTACAAAAAAAACTAACAATGACCCTTGGCTCCAGCTCATTTCTGCTGGATTTAGTAAAAGTTTTACCAAAGACTTAAAAAAAAGAATGCAGGTTTGAGTATTGTTTCTGTGGACCTTTTCAGCTCCTGTTGGAATTTAGGCCTCCAGCCTTTGAAAAGTATCTTGGCCATCGTAAAGTTATATACAGTTATTAAGTAGTGGTAAACCAGTCATGAGACCTTTTCACATCAGATCATTAAAAGTGTCATTGCAATCTAGAGCATGTCCAGAGAAGGTCAGATATAGACGTATAAAGAGCTAAGAGTTTTAAATAACCACAATCTCAGTATGGTACTACAGTTGAATTCTGCAATTAAAACATACTAGTTTGGTCTTTGATATGGTTGGATAAGATTTGTGTCCTCATTTGTACACATCCATCTTTAGTCAGATACACATGTAGTTGCCCAAGACTGGGGACACCACATCTCAGTGCTGTCTCCCCTATTCTTCTAAGTGCAGCTGCCATGAAAGGGCAACACATCATGTGTGGGCCTTCAGGCAATTGCAATGTGCCAGGCTGGATCCCACCACTCAGCACATGTTCTCAGCAGTCTAGGGTAGCCAAGGAAAGTTGAAGAGCTTTTTTTTCTGTGAATTCACAAACCGTACAGGGTATCATTTCATTGCCTGAAAATCAAGCACTGGTTACTAGTCTAACTCGCCCTATAGGATTTGCATTTCTGTTGAGAATGTTTTATTCTTTTTCTGTGGTTTCACTGGTTTATTCTTTTGATTCATAAAAATGGAGAACAAATTCCTTTGCTGTAAATATCACTGTTTTCTAATTTTTCTCTTTCTACTCTTTTTTTCCTTTTCACAAATGGATACCAATCATTTCCTGTTGGACCACACAATATCTCTTCCTGAAAAAAAAAAAAAATGCTGTTGACTGAAATTCCTTTTGATGGACCAAATTTCCTACTTGCTACCTGCTCCTGAATGGTCTCTTCAACCAAATCTGCCTGTCTGAACAATTAAACCTTCCTCCATTGTGCACGGCATGTTCTCCAAACCTTCAACCTCCCCTCCTTCTCTTGCTGCTGCCTTCCGGAAGCCACGGAAGAGTCCTGGGCCGAGGGAGGATTCTGTATGCTGGTGAAAAAGAACAATCTCTGCCAGCGGAAAGTGCTTCAGCAATTGTGTTGCAGAACATGTACGCACAAGGGGTGAACTGACATCTCCCAGTGTCGTCCTGTTCCTGTAGAATTATAGATTAATCCGTATTATTGAAAAAGGTAAAAAGGAAAAAAAAAAGGAAAAAAAGATTAAAAAAAAAAGGAAAGTCACCTCTCTCTCTCTCCCCATTCTTTGGGGAGATGGTGAACTCTCTGTTGGAACTTTACTAGAAAAACTACAACACACCTACCTTTCATAACTGGGTGTCTAGAGCTGAGCATCCGGGATCACAGAGTCAGTATTGTGTGACCAAAGCATTTGATGCCAAAATTAATGTTTAACTCATGATTTGATTTCCTGTCAACCTTAGGAATATTCCTGTTTTTTGAAGATACTTTTTCTTCCCTTTTATTCCTGCTTCTTTCCCTTTCAAGATGTTTAAAGGGTGTTTCAAGAATACAACACAAGTTTACATGGATTAAAACTAAACAATACAAATTGTTTGCATTAGTCTTTTTTGTGTTATGTGTATTGACAGGGGGAGCTTGAGTTCCTGAGGGGATCAGAAACATCATTAGCTGCAGGACTAAGTTCTGCCCCTTTTGTAATGGTATTTAAAATAAGAAAAGTGAACATTTCTGCACACATTTCTTTCTTACTTCCTCTGCTGTGTGCTATTTTTTGTATCACATGCAGTATGTATATATGTTTGCCCAAAATGTGGTTTTGGTCATATAGATTTCATTTTTAGACAGCTAGCTTATTAACAGATATGCTAGGATTTTTATTTTATTTTTTTAAATTGTCAAAGCTATTTCAAATAAACATAAAAAAAAATTTGTTCCTGTAGTGAACAAAGTCAAAAGATACTACTTCTCTTGGTTTGCATAAGTGAGAGTAATGTGTACACTTGGAAGTCAGAAAACATTGCTAACATGTAAGAAGTATTCATAAATTATTGTTGTCTTGTAATGTTCACAAAAAAGGGGATATTATCATACAGATATGTGGAGCTATTTCATAGTGCCCATACATAAATGCCAATGTGACTATATGCAATAGAATGTGTTTACAGGGCTGGATTTATAATTGTGCCAAATACATCTCCAGGAATAATTACATATAGGGTAATAAATCCATGGTTCTCTTGGTGTAGCAGTCATGTCATGGTGGG